TTGGTCTTAGACAGCCCGAACACGAGGATCTCTTGTTCGAATCTTCTTCCGTGAACGGGCGTGCCGCAGCCGTTTATGTTTTGTGTAAGCACATCCTTGAACCCGGCTAGTCTCTCCTCCTGCTGAGAATGTACGAAAGAGGAAGTCTGCGCTTCACATGAGTGAAGGAAGGAAGGAAGGAAGAAGAAGAAGAAGAAGAAGAATGGGAATTGTAAGTGCGATGGCGCTGTTCAGCAAGGTCATGATTCTGGTAACCTTACTTACGTGCGGTCAATGTACTGTAGTGAAAACACCGGAACCTACAGTAGTTCAGATAAGTTTAAATGTGTTTTAATTCAATTCGAACAGCTCTGTTTATCTTCAGGCATACGAAAATATACAAGTAGTCGCTACAGGCCAAATCCCTATTTCTGTCATAAACGTTGATCTGTCGAAAGTGTAGGAAATTGCTTGAAAATTTAACAAAGGAACGAACTCTAAACTTGTTTACAAGTACTAATTTGTTTCCTATGAGCAGACACTACTTGAAGGGAAACTGGAGATAGAAACAACAAACAACTCAAGCCTTAACGACGTTTTCGGTAATCACATCTTTCCCGTCTGAAGCACGCCAACTTAATATTTATTCCGAGCGAGTTAACTCTGCGGTAATGCATCTTGCACTCGTCCGCAGTTAAACACATTTCTGACTCGGTGTTCTAGTGTACCGTATCCGGCAGTTATGAATCAAGACAGAGCTAATGGCAACAATCCAAGTTACCTAACAGTCTTCTAATAAAAACTAATTTTCTTACTAGGATCAAGATCTGTATAGTTCGTTTTCGTTGTACATGTTCTTCATATTCCATCTCACAGGCATTGAAGCGTTAATTAAATATTCTTTATCAATTTTTGTTTCCTTAATTCCCTCCCCGATTTATCATTCCGGATGTGTCAGAACGATATATTATTATATCTGCAATAATTATCATTAGGAGCATATCTCGTATATATGGTGGGCTGAAGGCGGTGAAATACAGCCTTTTTATCCATTTGACGGATGCCTGAATTATATAATTACATAACTAATTTCATAGACCGGAGGCCTTCTTGGGAAGCCGCCAATTCTGCAGCTACTCAAGAACTTTCCAGCATTTCATGGAACCCGAAGGTTCATTACCGTGTTCACAAGAGCCCTCCACTCTTCCATACCCTGAGCCAGGTCGAGCCAGTCCACATTACTCCATTCTATCTCTGTAAGATCCATTTTAATATTGTCCACCGACCTACGTCTTGGCCTTCTTAGCGGTTTCCATCATTTTGGCTTTCCGCCAATAACCTACATGTATTCCTCTTCTCCTCCATTCGTGCTACATGCCCTGCCTATCTCATCCTCCTTGACTTGATCATTTTAATTATACTTGGAGAAAGATACACGTTAAGCGGCCTCCGTAGTCTAGAGGTAACGTTCCCACCTCATGACTCGTGGTACGCGGGTTCAAATACCCGGCGGAGGTCGTCGAATTTTTAAGGGCGGAAAAATTCAGGGAACAAGTCCTCCAGGAGGGACTTTAAGCTGTGTGTCCCGTGTCGTAACTTTACGGCACGTAAAAGAACCACATATCCCCAAAGGGGATCACTGAGCCAAATTCCAGGATGTTTCCCGCCCAACAATAGTCTCTAAGGCCTCTGATAGATAGGGGAAGCATTATAGACACCGCTAAGCTAGTGGCCGAACTCTCTTGCTCGGCGGGACTGATGGTACGCACCATTTATCGGTAGGGTATAGAGACTGGTAGAATATCATAGAGGGAAGCACAATAGATCAAACTGGTGGCGGTGCATGGGGAAACCCACCCTCTCTAAATAACTAACTAACTAAATAACTAAGATACACGTTATGAAGCTCCTCATTATGTAGTTTCCTCCGATTTCCCGCAACTTAATTTCTCTTCGGTCTAAACATTCTCCAGAATAACCTGTTCTCAAAGAGACCAAGTTTCACACCCTTACAGAGTCACAGGCAAAATTATAGTTTTATGTACTCCAATTTTTACGTTTGTTGTAGACAACAGAAGGGAAGATGAAAGCTTCAGCAAACCTTACACGAATTCTTTCTCCCCTTAATTTCCTCCTTAATCAGGTGTTGATTTATCATAATTGTTCCCAGATATCTAAACTGTGCCACGCTTTCAAAACATCTGTTAGCTCTCTTTTTGTCATGAATAGCCCTGCATTTTGGTGACTAGACAGTAACATATACTCAGTTTTCTCTGCATTTCCTTCTAAAACAACCTCCTTACTAACGTCAATTAAAGTTTCTGTTATTCTTTATGGTATCCATGTTATCACCATGTAGATTCACATCATCAGCTGAATATTGCTAAGAAACCTGTAATGTCAGTTCTACTTCTCAACCAGCGTACAAAACAGTAGAATCGCCGTGGTGGGGATTTACCTAACTGTACACGTCAGAGAATACGCGACGAAGAGACGAGAACATTTATAATACGTAGGTCGTACCGCAAGTCATGGGCAACTTTTCTTTGCATGCAACCTGGGAACAGCAGAAGAAAGAGAGTATAGTGTTAGGTGGAACAAGCTGTTGTGTTAACATTGAGTGTCATGTGACGTCAATAGCTTGCATCACGTGACCAATATCACTCCTAACAAAGTAGCCGACAACGCTATGTCGTTTGGTAGCGTGCTGTCATCGAATTTCATGTGAAAAAGGAAATCCCTGCTACACAAATTCACTAGAGACTTCAGCGTGCTTATGGAAGTGTGTGCATTGGTGCGAGCAGTGTTCGAAGATGGGTGAAACATTTTAAAGATGGGAACACCAGCATCGAAGATGAGCCTCGGAGCGTTCGTCCTCGAACAGCCTCAACTGGACTCAGCAAAGAAAGAGTGGATGAGATAATTCAAGATGACAGGCGTTTGACTATGGACACAGTAGCTCGAAGTCTTGGAATAGGACACAGTGCAGTGCAGGAGATGATTGAAAGCTTCGGTTATAGGAAAGTTTGTGCTCGTATGGAGTATGGAATGGCACCATTTGCATTCTCCATAAAAAAAAAAGAAGGCAAAGAGTGCCATCAGCTGTGAAGGTGATGGGCACAGTCTTCTGGGATGCAGAGGGGTTTATTCTGGCCGAATTCCTGGAACCTTGGCAAACCATCAATGCTACTCGTTATGTCCAGACGCTGCAGAAGCTCCGTCGTGCATTGCGCGATAAACATCCGGGACGAAACATCATCATCCTGCATGACAACGCTCGCCCTCACGCCGCTAGCCTCAAATTGGAAGCAATTGCAATGATGGGGTGGGAAGTTCTTCCACACACCTCCTATAGCCCTGCTCTGGCACCCTCCGACTACCATCTTTTCGGATTTGTGAAAGATCAGCTGCGTGGACAACGTTTTGAGACAAGAGAGGCAATTCTGAAAGCAGTGTGTCAGTGTCTTCGGTTGACTGGAACGGAATTTTACAGAAGGGGAATTTTCAAACTCCCAGAATGCTGGGAGAAATGTGTACAAGGAAGTGCAATTAGGTGGAAAATTAAAGAAAGGTCTGTAGATTGAGGTGGTGTATTTGGTTTGTCAATAATAAAGCATGTTACTTTACAAAAAAAGTGTTACTCATGACTTTCAGTACTTCAGTATTCGTAGTTTATATACTCTCTCGATATACGCGGTAGCGCTGTTGGTTGAGGCATTGTACTACAAGCCATAAGGTCGCGGGTTCGGGTCCCGATTAAACTGATTTCTTTTTTTCAAATTACCTAAACCTACCAACCTACCCTGAGGTCGACTCAGCCTTTAACAGTAATGAGCACCAGGAATTTTCCTGGGGGGTAAAGGGCGGCCGGTGATTAAGTCTGACGACTTTAGCACAATCGGTGAGCCGACTGTCTAGAGAATGTGGGAGCCTCAACGTCTCACAACCCTATGGGCCTCCACGGCCTGTTACAGGGATAACTTTACCTTATATACTTTCCTAATTAATGTACTGAAGTTAGAGGTGACTATATGATGATAACATAGCAGCTCTTCATTATGGGACAAACCTAGAGAAATTACAGGGCCAATCGGGTTTTGAGTTTACACATAGAGTATTGAAGGCGATATCTGTATCACTGGTCTTGAATGTGATGTTGTCCAAAATTCGGTTATTGAAATAAGTAAGTTTGTCTGTTCAATTTGAAGTATACGTAATTTAGAATATTTTTATTTTGCATGCGGTGTAAATACTTAAATCATATTTAAATTAAAATTTAATTCTGTAATTAACATAAACAGTATTTCCGTCGCTGAAGCTGAAAATCGACAAATGACCTTGCTTCAATTACATGATGTAGGTTAGCCACAAATAAAGCAGATAATTTTATGATCTTCAACGCAACAGACAAATAAGAATGACAGGCAGTTTCACTTTAGCAGCTCATGAAACAGCGCATCTTAAATTGTGACAAAGAATTATATTTATACATTCAATCACTCATCAATGGTTCTACAGCGCTCTGTTGGGCCCTGACCTCTTCTTCAGTTTCTTAATCTTTTTTACACCGACGGTAGGACTCCTCGGACGAGTGATCAGCCCGTCGCAAGACCACTACATACACACAGGACAACACAAACGCAGAATAAACGCACACATAAGCATCCATGACTTTGAGTGGAATTCGAACCCACGAACCCAGCGTTCGAGAGAGCGAAAACTATAGAAGGAAAAAAAATAGTCGAAAGAAACTTCACAGTCATATTTTCCTTTCACTTCCTACTAGCATTCACTGAAATGAATCGGTAACAATTTTGACAAACATTCGCTAAATATCCACTCTGTCCATATTATAATGACTGGATATAATTGTCGGTCACTTACAACGTAATCTATGCCCAATTTCCTGTGTGACAGAAATTGTTTTATCGTCCAAATCGGAAAATTCACCCTCGTGTGTTTTGCCGCCTTTCCTTTCGACATCGAAGTTTCTTCTAGGTTCCTTTGAACTTGGGACTTACCTTCAGTGGTTACCGTCCTACTCCTAACGAGGTCTGTCTTGTTTCCCACTAGGATAACAGCCTTGGAAGACACAGTGTCGCTCTTCCACAGGAACTGCAAGGTCTCTTCGGCACAGCGGAGGCTGGCTCTGTCCACCGTTGAGTACACGACACAGTAGGCGTGCGGTTCGTACGAGGAAATGCAGTTCTCTGGCTGTGGACAAATGCACAGATACCCCTTTTTAGTCTACATGCGGTACTTCGTATTGAGAGATATGTTCATGATGTATCGAGTCCCTGTGTTTTTCCCTCCCTAAGTAATTTCTAACTACACTATCATACATATTCTGCGTCATACTGTGCTCTCTGAAGTGTTAATGGACTATTTATGTAACCCAGTCTTCTCGCATCTCCTGCCTTTCACACTTCTCCCCTCACGATCTCCTTTTCTCTTCCTTGGACAATCATATTGTGACATGTCAACGCATTGCCAGGCAACGGCTCGATAATCACACGCAACAACAGGGGAATATTTACAGCTCGTTGCTAGGCAACAGTTAACGTCGATCGTACCCCCCTACTTGTGACATTACTTTTCCCCAATTTTTGTTACTCGGATGAGTGGTTCTTTTCTACTTGCATATTTTATATTTAGGCAACACTACCAATGCGTTCTGATATCTATGTATACTCTTCCCACACGGCTCCTTTCACTGATATCAGATTTAGTTTCACACGGCCGGAAACCGGAGGGCCTTCATCTGAAAAATTTTGTTCGAATATCCTTACTTCATGAGAGAAAGGATTCCCTTGCAGAAGCCGATTCGGAAGTTTGGACCGTGCCGTGTAGTCCTAGCAACTGTGTTGACTATGACTTGAACAAATAACAGCCATATTGCCAATATGCTGGTTTGTTAGATAGAAAGAGAACGCACGACGAAGAGGACTGAGAAGCATATTTCGTATGATCGAAGCCAATATGGACACACTAGTATTGTAAAACATGCAAATTTGGGTTGCATTTCAATATTGTTTTATGCACTATGATATATTTACCTTTTGTCCGGGCTATTATTATGTTATTCATGGATAAATGAAGATATTATCCCAAGTGTTCCATCTTCCATCTTTCTAATGTCTTAATCATTTTCCACGGTCATGATATTGGAGGTTCAGAGGTCTTGAGCGAATGTGTATTCGAAACGCTGCAGTTTTGTACAACTCTTACTGCTTATGCACTTCGTAAAATTTCTTGAAATGACTAATCATACTGAAATCAGCGATCCCCACTCAGTATAAGATACGAACATCTTTAAGAGCTCACTTTGTACTGCGTAAGAAGTGGCCCCGCTGGAAAAACTACGCAAATTTTCAGGTTCCCGCAGAAGTGAGTATTCAGACTGTGATCTTCTGAATTGTGGAGCTGTAGTCGCCCAAGTAAGTCATCATTAGCGTTTCGGAGGAACATGAGACCTCCAGTTTCAGGATCGATGTACAAAGGGCAGTCAAATGAAAACGGGTCACCACGCATAACTCACACGGCGCGCAAGTTGGTATCACTGGAATTTGCTTACAGAACGAATATCTTGTGGGCACTCGGGCAAGCACAGTGACAACACTAGTCGTTTGTTTCTTGTGCTGGAAGTAAGGTTAGCGCTACCTGTGGTCATCCAACATCAGTAATGGAGGCGGGTAAAGAAGAACAGCGAAATGTAGTGCGCTTTTTGGCTGCTGAAGGAGTAGGAGGACGAGAAATTCATTGTCGCTTGTCTGTTGTTTACGGCGAACACAACATGTCAAGTTCACATGTGCTGGCGTGGCATAAGAGATTCTGAGAGGGACGTGTGTCACTTCAAGATGACACTCGCCCAGGACAGGCTCATCGTGTCATCACTCCTGATGTTATTGCTGCGTTGGATGGTCATATCCGGGGAAACCGTCTCATCACTGTGGAAGAAATTAGTCTTTTGATGGGAATAAGTCACGGCTCCGTACACGCCATTGTGACAAAACACCTGCTGTACCGTAAAATCTTCGCGCAGTGGGTTCCATATCAACTCACGGAGGAACAGAAGACTCAGAGAATGGCTGCATCACTGGGTCACTTGCAACGATACCATGAGGAAGAGTATGCTTTTCTGTCCCGTATTGCCACTGGGGACGAAACGTGGTGCCACCATTTTGAACCCGAGAGCAAATGACAGAGCCAACAGTGGAAACACGTGAGTTCCCCCCAGCGAAGAAATCCAAAGCCGTACACACAAGTTCCGGTAAAGTGATGATGACGTTCTTGTTCGACTGCAAGGGCCCTCTGCTTGTCGACTGTCTGTCACAATCAATGCACAGCGCTATGAAGACACTTTGCAGAAACTGAGACATGCCATAAAGTCAAAACGCCCTGGAATGCTATCGAACGGCATTAGCCTTCTTCATTATAATGCACGGCCCCACACAGCCAACTCTGTGAGGAATACGCTACAGAGACTTGGTTGGGAAGTGCTTCACCATCCCCCCTACAGCCCAGATCTCTCCCCATGTGATTTTCACATATTTGGAGGCCTGAAGAGAGACATTCGTGGACATCGGTTTGCATCGGACGAAGACGTGTGTGGCTGGGTAAAGATGTGGTTCCGTAGACAGCCCACAAGCTTTTTCAAGGACCGTCTTATCTCCCAGTGGGATAAATGTATTAACAGTTTTGGAGATTGCTTTTGAGGTAAGAAATGTTCTTTAATATATTTTGGCTTCTGACCCGCTTTCGTTTGACTGCCCCTCATATAAGATGAAAGCCCCACATTTATTTGAAATGTACGTGTGTGTGACCACTTACAAGATCCTGAAGACTATAATCTATAATCGGCAGTGCCACTATGCCTACTGGTTTGCATTAGTTTTCTATTTGTTCTTGATAATTTGTTGCAAAATATGGGTGGCGTTTTGTTACTTTATTTGATTTATGTCTGCATTAATGTATATTTCTTGTTATTGGTTCTTCGCCTATAGCAGTAAATTGCTGAAGGTTTAGATTTTAATTTTTGCGGAACCTCGTAGCTGTGTATCGAATTACTTACTCCACAGGAAGTGTGATTGCAGCAGGTAGCTCCAAAACGTGTTTTACTATCTAACCACATACCAGAACTCACGGTGTCAATACCCAGAAGACCAGTGTCTGAATTTTCGCTTAAGTGCAAATCTCAATTTTCATCTACTCCACTTTCCTTTCCCTAGATGTTCTTACGCAGATGTTTGGGATTTAGAATGCATCCGGCTTGGGGTTTTGTGTTTTGATCCTATTGGTTCGTGTGCTTGGTTAGGTTATGAGATTCGCTTGTAAACTCTGTAACACCTACCAAGAGTGGCCTCCTTCCGGGTTCATCTCTAGAATTTGTATGACCGACATCATTTTAAGAATATTTTCCTGTGATTTCCTTTCCTTATCATTTGATCCTGGTTGGGAAACACATTTAATTTTGTTTCTACTTAACTTTTATGTTAGGCCGATAGTTGTGTGCGTTGAAGTAAAAGCTGATATTGGTGTCTCCCATAAAGCAATTTGATTTTTCCATGCTCTAATTTTGTCTCCTTTCTGTGTGTTCTTAGGATCAGGGTTGTGTTCTCTGGTGCTCAGTAGAAAAGGAGTGGCTACAGAATTATAATTCATTAGTAACTTGTACGTTTTTCTGACATTTGGTCCTTTGATTAATTATCTGAACGCGATTTCCCTATACATCTAAAATAAATGTGGGTCGTGCCTACGGATTACCTTCCTCCACCTTTACTTGGAGGAGTGAACGTTTCCTTAGACGGGCCGACCGTGCTGTTCTCAATGTTTATTAGATCTAATTAGGGCCATGTTTAGCTAAGCTTAAAGCTTCCAGTTGTGTGCGACTCCAGCGAAATGCGTTAGAATCAGAACTGCATATCGGTGACTGCTGTTGTACTTCACAATGTAACAGCTGAGAATACATAGTAAAGCACCTCGATTCTTACCCTCACTTCTGATAAAAGGTTTTATTTTAGCGAATTGTTCTTTTTTCATATATTACAATTTCTTTCTATTTAGTTTAATTAAAGCAGAATTTATGAGAAAGTAAGCTGTAGCAATTTTATTAAGTGTCAATAATTTTTGTAATATTTTATGTTTTTCCTCATGCTTCGTATTTTCGGTTAATCCGATTTTTAAGCTCATGTGTATGTAAGTGTCTCCTCTGACTGGGCGGCGGGCCCATTGTGAACAGCGGTGAATATTGCAATTGCTGATGACTGAATATACACGAAAGCTTTCATAATCTGGACAGGATTTAAACCCGCTACCACATCGCTCCAACAATGCTCCTTAAACCGCAGAATCAATGACGTTGCTTTAGCGCGTTACAGAACTTCCGGGAAATTTATCTTGACAGTTTAGAATGGCTTCCGTAAATATGTCGATAAGGCCCTGGAAATTCTGATTTTTCCGATTCAATAGACCTACATGAAGTGATTCATAAGCCAAATCCACTTTTCCCATTAAATACTTCAAACGAAATATTCTGATTAGTACATTTTTCGAATGGTCGACATGTATCGCCCCCGAAAATCAGGCATTAATTTTAGGATTTTATGGGTAGCTGATAAATGCCTTAGTAGTGGCAGATATAAAGAATTTCCATGTCCGCGAATTTTCTTTTCGTTTTGACCATAAAAGGAATGTTATACAACAAAGAGTTCTCCATTTGCTGGTGTAGGAATGAGGGGTTAATAACAATTTATAAAATTCAGTTACGTATTAATTCAGAGATTAATGCAAATGTATTTGTTCAGAATTTACGTTATAAGGTCACGTGTATGAGTGACTATAGACGGAGTTTGAATTGGTAACTGCATATAATGAGCACTTTTACACAGCTCGTAACTACAAGTAGTTGTAGCTCTATTGATAATTCACACTCTACAATTCACTGCAGCACGTAATAAGTCTTCTCAGTTTGCTGTGTCTTCGTCAGTCGTTGCCTGGTAACGGTTCTCAACAATGTCCTATGTTTCTGTGCTCACCTTCTTATCGTCTGGCAACTCTTCCACGACTAACTCATTGTCAGAGCCAGAGTTACTTTACGACTGGCGGATTGCCGCCAATCAGTTTATCTCGGCGCCAAGCCCCTTGAGGTTAAGGACCTGAGATTTCTTTTTTCAACTGAATCCTTGCAGTCATAGTCCTTATGTAACATCCTCTCT